CACAGTGTGTGTACTGGGGTTTGAATTCAGGGCCTAGGCACTGCCCTTGGGCCTTTTCAGATGCTCTGCCACATGAGCTACACCTCTACCTCAGCCTTTTTTGCTGATTAATTAGAGATATGGGCTGGCTTTGAACCTCTATCCTTAGATCTAAGCGTCCTGAGTAACTAGAATTCCTGATGTGAGCCACCCATGTTTGGCTTCATTTTTTTTTTTTCTCTTCAAATATTTTTGTTGGCCAACTCCAGCTAAGAACCACACTCATTTTTGTGACCCAGGACACATGTATGTATACAAACTGAAGCCAAAGTTCACAAGGTACTTGAGTGTGTGTGCATGTGTGTGTGTGAGAGTGAGGCTCTGATTGTATCTTGTATTAACTACATGAACACAGTGCCAGTGATGAGCTACTTTGGTGGTTGTACATATTCACAATGAGTCAAGGTCCAGTTTGAAATACTTTGGGCCTATTGGAAGGTGTGTGCTGAAGGTAAGAGGAAGGGCTGGGGGCTTCAATAAAATGCTTTAAGACCTACAGATCTCACAGGTGTATATGGTCAGCAAGAAGTCAAAGAAAACTGAGAGTTTTGAGTCTGAGACATGAGGCTGTGTTCATGTGATTTTGTTTTGGCGTACATTCCCTGTGAAAAACAGCATGGGTGGCTCAAGCCTATGTTCCTAGTTACTCAGGAGGCTGAGATCCTACTCAGGTTCTAAGCCAACTGGGAAGGACTTTCCAATTAACCACCAGAAAACTGGAAGTGGCATGAGTAACCAGTGCTCAGGTTAGATTCCAGTTTTGTCATCTGGGCAATAGATTTATATCAACCACAAGCAAGAAGTGAAAGGTCTTAAATTTAGAATGTGGACTTGATACTAGCATAGGATTCCTTTTCCTGATTGTGACCATAAAGAGTGGGATCTTGCCACGCGGACCTGGCTGCCCATGTTTGCAAGTGACTGAGCCTTGTACTAAGTACATTATATATAATACAGGGCTCCTGGTCTCCGCCATTAGCCTCCCAACAGACCTCATGGTCAGGATTTATTAGGTTTGGGGAAGTCCCACCCTGGGTCTGACCTTGGAGGATGAAGTTGGGTGCAGTCTCCAGCCCTTTTGACTTCGATATCTTCACAGAAGAAAGCTGATTTGGAATTGGCCTCTGCAGAGCCAGAAGGCCCCACATGGAAGAAGAATGAATAGCCGGTCCCCTCAAACTCTCCAACTCTTCCATCCTGGTCTCAGAGGGCTGAAGCTTAGCTGACACTGGGTCCCAGATCTTTGTTCAACTTGAGCTCACATGGATGCAGAAACACAAGAGAGGCCAAATCATATGTTTAAACAGTTAAGAGGAAACGAGACTTGGAGAGGAATGACAACCCTGGATTTAGCTTGGGTGAATTTTCCTTCTCTGGGATTTCCTGTCCCTTTTTTGGATGTTTCTATCTATCCAATGTTCCCTCACAGTTGGTTTAAGGCCATCAACTCTGTGGTGAAAGAAAGCCTTGCACAGATTTGGGATTAGCTGCTAAAACATCAACCGCTGCCGAATGGTGTGGATCCAAAGCCAGGCTTATATGACATAAGCTCCTGGCCACTGTCAATCTCCCTGACAGTGGAAAGAGACCAAACTTGGAGCTCAAAGGAACACAGCTTTTTTTGGGGGTGTGATGAGCCACAGGGTCTGCAGGGTTGATGTGTGTTGGGGAAAGGGGATGGGGGAGAAAGAAGATAGGTCCTTAAGGAATATAAAATACGTGGACCCCAAAGCAGGCCTCCAGCAAAGTTCTGAGACTGTAGTTAAAATTTAACAATTTTTTTTATGTAAATCATCTGGCCTAGTCAATTGTAGGCCGTGTGGGGAGGATGGTGGTAGGGAGGGAACAATGGGTTAGGATTAGATAATTTGCTTAGTGCTAAAATTCCAGGAAGTTTGTGTGGATCTGGGCCTGGATCTTGTTACTTTTTAGCTCAAATCGAAATCTTTATCTTCCTATTACAGTTGAGAGGAATTTTTTTTAAACTTAAGTCATTTTTACAATTGTAATTTTTACCCTCTTTCATCAAATGGAGCTGGTTAGATTAGCAGCCCAACGCCTCTTGTTTTGTTTATCCTAACAGTGCAGGCTTTGATCTAAACATATTTCCTGGGGTCTGGACAAGATGACCTAATTCTTCTTATCCGTCTCTCTCTCTCTCTTTTTTCTGTGACTCTCAGATTGCTGGCCTTTACTGTGGGGACCTTTGAAATTCACTTTACATTTTTCCTGTTTGTTTTCCTGACATTAGTTTTATTTGGGGTGGATAAGTCTTCCCAGTGAAGAAGAGTGCTGGGCTTGATTTTCCTAACTGGACTTCTCCAAGTTTTAATAGAGTGGGATCTTTTTTTTAAAGCTTCTTTCCTTACAATCACAACAGATCAAACACAAATAATTTGCTGGAAATGTGAATCAACTGCAAATCACTCAGGATTTTCATCTTTGAATATTTTTATAAATATTTTGTAATTTATGTATATACTTTTAAAATATTGCCTCCTCCTCCACTCCTTAATCAAAAGCCAATTGGCCTGGGAGGTTGGGATGAGGAAAGCCAAGGCCCTAAATTAGGTCCAACCATGTCTAGAACTCTCCTTTGCCCCACCCCTCTTCCCCCACCCTGACCCCATAGGAGGTGGGGGGTCTCCTGGGCCCAAGCATGGTTCCCCACTTTTTTCTCTCCAGACCCCTGTCAATCATGACAGCCTTTCCAAGTAATTTTTCCAGAAAGAGAATAAAAGGAAGACAAAGGTGCAGAAAGAAAGTATGAACAAAGCGGTTTCGAAAATAACAAAACTAAGCAAAACATTTAAGTTTTGCAAATGTTGGGTCATCAACCCCGCTGTACTTTTCAGTGTTCCGGCAATCTGTATTATTTTTTTAGAAAAGGGGGGGGGGAAGCAAGGTAAAATGTCCCCAAAGTGTATGTTTTTAGTTGAAAATTATGTGTGAACTTAGCTGTCTGAGCAACAGCCCTTACTCCAGAAAGGCTCCGGGTGACTACAAACTGCCTGGACGCTCTTTGAGTTTCCAATGGGAACAGGGAAGGGCTGGCGCAAGCGCGAGGCGTGGGGCGCAGGGTGGTGGGGATGGGGGGGGGAATGCAGGAATGGGGCGATCGCATATTCTCCTAGAAGCCAATATAAATTCATTTCTCTTCTGTTGGGCCGATCCGGGAGGAGCCGCGGGGCTGCGGGCACTTCCTTGAGTTGCAAAGGCATGGGGGTAGGGGGGTGGGGAGGGACAGGCAGGTAATGATCAGTCGATGGATCAATGGATAGGAGGGGATAAAAACGGACTGGGGGAGGATGTGCCAGGAGAGACAGAGACGACCACTTTTCCCTAAGGGCTTCTGAGGTGGTCTCGGGAAATCCGTGTCAACGAAAAGCTACTTTTAAAACTCATTTTTCAGAAAAAGCTGCAGAGGGGGGCTGGCTAGAGAAGAGGAAGGCTCCGGCTCCCCGCCCCCACCCCATCCGGAGCAACTCGGACTGGAGATGCTGCGAGGCGCGTGCCCAGCCCAGCGTGCATACTGCGTCTACCAGGAGTGTGAGCGAGGCGCACGCCCAGCGGAGTGCGCGTCGGGTGTGCCGTGGAAGTCAGCCTGGGTCGGTGGCGCGGCCTGTGGTCCCTCCCCACGGGTGTCCCCACGGACTTCATCCCGGAGCGCAGGGGCCGCCGCTGCCAGGAGCTCAGGCCTCGGTGCGCCTAGCCCTGGAGTGCGCTTCATCTCTGCATCCAGACCTACAAAGGGATGGTCGGCTCCCCGCAGTGACATGCACCCCGTATGACCCTCGAGGAGTGTATAATTCCAGCCTTCTCTCCTGGGACAAAAAGAAAAGAAAAAAGGCACTCCTGGGGCCTCAGGACCTGGCCAGAGATGAATGGACCCGGAGGGCCGTTCCAGTCGGGAATGTCTGCCTGGTGCTGCGCACACCCCCACCCTAGGCCTCTCCTGGCTTGGGTGCCACTTTTGATTCTGTCCCAGCCAAACCTCCCGAGGGCTTGGGGTCAGCCTACCCAGCCTGGGCTCTGGGGCTAAACGTGGCTTCAGATGTCTCTTGAGGCCAGATTCTCTGACCCATGCCATTGACATCTAAATGGCAGGGTCCAGAGAGGCAGGGTTGGACACACCACGCAGTGGGCTGAGTCCTATGGAAACTTATGGCAGAAAGGCGGCCCAATGCCTTCCCTGGGTGCAGCCACTGCTGCTGGTTTCACCACCCCCAGGACACACTAAAGCCATGTCCCACGGCTCACTTAGAAATTCTGCAGGGGACACCTATACTCCCCTGGAACAAAAGCACTAGGGAAAAAATCAAAACTGAATTTTGATGATAAAAAACATTCCAGTTGATTCTACAAATCCTTTATCATAAGTTCTTCTCTTTTAACATAGGCATGTGCGTTTAAAAGCCTAAAATACTAATTAAATAGAGAACATGTTGACCTCCCTGGGTTGAGGCCCAGTTTCGAAGTCAGATTATATAACCCTGCTGCATGGGGAATTCTCCAGGACTACAGCTCTCAGTGGCCTGAAAAAAAACAAAAAACACTCTGCCACTTGAGCAAATGGAATGAAACTAAAATAGCTAAAACTGAAATCGAAATCCAAATATCCTGCTTGAGGAAACTTACCTGTCAGGGAGAGAGAGATCTAGAGGGGCAAGTTTCCATTTTCTTCATTGTTTTCTTAAGGGGTTGGGGAGGGTGGGAGAGTGAAGACTGAAATGGATTCCTAAATAAGGAATACATATTGGGGAAAATATTTAGGGTTGCCCAATTTCAAAGTCAAAAGGAAACCCAGGCCCCTCCCTGAAACGGTTGTTTCTGTGACCATTTCTTATTTAGAAAGATATTCATCTTACACACCTTATTTGTACCCAGAGAAATGTTAAAAGATACACTTAGGGGCCTGATGGAATAGAAATACATTCTACAAACACAGACACAGTATGTTGTTTTATCTCTTGCAAAAAAAATGTATTTGATTACTTGAGTAAAATTACAGTATCTCTGTTGTTAGTAAGTATTAAATGTTAAAGAAATCGGACCCCCTTCCTTTCAACTTTCCAAGAAAGTGCATGTAACAAGTCCAATCTTTTTCTCTCATACCTAATACAAAATAAACAAACACTATACCTGCTCTCTTGATCAAGAAGAACATTTGCTCTTGTAAGGAACATATGTACATTTTAATGAAAGTGATATTTCTTACTGTATATACAAGAGCATCTACATTTTCTCCACGGAAGGTTGTTCAAGATGCTATACTTAGCAGCATTGTGAAATTCCAGCACACATTTTCTATTGTGAACATACCTACAAGGCAAAATGTTACGTCTCAGTTTCAACTACCAAAACAACATTTTTTTTCTTTTTTCTTTCTTTTCTCTAAAGAATTCTGCGTGCTTATTACTGTACAGAAACTTATTAACATCAAGGACGACTCAAGTAAAAAGCACAATACAAAGAGCAGTTCCAAACGGAAATGGTTAAATCTACAAAACAAACAAACAAAAAAATACAGGCTGAAGTTTAGAATAAAAATGGGAAAAAATAATAAACCCCCAAAACCCCCAACAAAAACGCAACCAAAACCCATCCCCACCCCCAAACCGTTCAGAGAACCACACTGATCTGTCTGTACTTTCAGTCCTTTCCTTGAATCTGTTTTGAAAGATTAGACAATGTGTTTGCTGATAAAAGTTTCCAGCAGGATCAAAGTGTACATTTATATACAGACTTTATTAGAGACCTAATGCATCACGGAGGCATTGCATCAACACCAGATTCATATTAAACTGGGTATAGAAAATAAGTTAATGCCAGATTAAGACCGCTTAGCAGGGCAACTTGCAATTGCCATAAATGTTACAGCAAGTTTACAGCACTCTAGTCAATTAGTATTTAGTATTTAGTCCAAAATACAGAAGACCAAAGTTAATGCCTGCATTCTGTTTGCAAAGCAAGGTTATATCACTAATAAATAAGCTTTCTTAGAATTCTAGAAGTTGAACAACGTACAAAAGAATGTCTTCATAATGTTGTAGTTCATAGACCAGGGGGAATCAGAAGGTAGGAAGGGGATGGGGCAGGGACTTAGGAGGCAACCATAGGTCACATTCTGAACAGGAATGGCATGTCTCTAGGGTGTTGGTGCTTTTAACTAGTCACGATCTCTTTGCTGTCTTCCACAAAGCGGGTGAAGCGGAAGTTGGTTCCATTCTCACTGCTCGTCATTTTCTCCAGGCCGGCCAGAGGAGCACTGGGCTCGGAGTTCTGGAGCTTCTCCAAGTTTCCTGTCAACCCACTAATAGGTGAGCTGCTCCCGCTGCCCAGGCTTCCAGGAATTGGAGGAATGCCACCATTCTGAATGACAGAGATCTCGTTGGCTTTCATGGCCAGCCCGTTGGAGAGTGCTGCCGTATACTGATTCCAGAAACTGGAAGGATCCCCACTTCCTGACCTCGTCGCCAAATCCTTCTGGAACATTTCTGGGAACTTGACAGGATTGCCTCCTAGAAATGACATGGGGCCATCCACGGAGAGCCGGCGGCCCCGCCTGGCCGGGGTGCTGTTCCACATGTGAGTGCCCATGTGGACCTGAGGGTGAGACCGAGTTGGGGGGAGGGAGGGAAGGGAAGAAGAAAATAAACAGAGAAAGAGCAACTTAATAGTTGAATCTGTCTCAGCTCATATCCCAACACTCGACAAAGCAAGTGGCCTACGTGTCTATTCTCATTATGCACCAGTCAGTGGAAAAGGTAACGGGAACCGTCCACTCTGGGGTGGCAGGAGTAATAACGCGTTCTTTCTCTGCAGCCCCGCTGCCTTTCCTCTTCCTGCGTAAAGATGCCTTACTTAACTTACTTTTTTTTTTTATTACCCATATTTAGCTTATAATGGCCTGGAGCAAGCCAGGCCGTTGTAGATAGCTCCTCTGCGGGGTTAGAATTGTTATGTCCACTCTCATTGACCTGGAAAGTATTGTATCTGACACCCTTTACCCTATAAATGTCCTTTTCAGATAGGAAGAAAACACCACTCACTGACTGCCCACTGAAGGACCCGTGTGCACACACAGAGAAAAAGCCAGAAAGTAATTATTCATCTCACATTACTGGCGGCAATCTCCAGAGAAATACTCTGTCAACAGAAAAATGTACACAGTCAGAGCACTCAACTGTTGCTCTAGAACATAAGCATATTTGCTTTGTTTCCAGCACATATCAGTAGGAAATGTTGTATAATCAATTATCATAATACCCATTAGCAGAGGCAGGGACGTTACTGTCTCTAGAAAAATAAACCTTGCTGGACTGCATAGTTATGAAAAATAGCTGCCTATGCGGAGGAGAAGCGTAATTATTAAGTGATACGGGCATCACGTAGGCCACACAGAGGTCTTTAATCAATACCCTGTGGCAAGGCCAGGCTGTCTGATTTGGTAGGTAAAGCAATTCATTTGGTGTACTTAGTGAGACAAGGAGGAAGGGGGAGGGGCACTGCGTGGCTCAGCTACCAAATTATTCAAGGTGCAGTGACATGCTTTGAGCTACAGAGTGCCCTCGCCCTGCCATGATCCTGACCCCACGGACCCTCCCCACCTTCTCCCCAATCATCCACCTGCAGCAGGATCCCTTCCCAGAACCCTCTCCCAGACTGTCAAGGAGCATGCACTATAGTTGATCAAGGGCAAGGGCCAAGGGCTGATGGGAGGGAGGGAAAGCAGGAGGGGGCACAGGCAAGGGTGGATACCTTAAGATTGCCTTTTGTAGTGAATGCTCTTCCACAAATAGTGCAAGCAAAGGGCTTCTCTCCAGTGTGCGTTCTCTCGTGGATCTGCAGGGCACTTGAAGAGGAGAATGTTTTGCCACATGTGTTACAATAGTGTTGTTTGGGAGTTCTTCGGGGCAGAGCTGGAAGGAGAACTGGGGATGTGGCAGAGGATGACAGAGGCCCTGAAGGGACGTGACTAGTGGGGGTGTCCTTACTGTCCTGAGGAGAAACATGCACAAAGCCGTTGACCTCCGTCTTGATGAGAGATGACAAGGAGTTGGCGGGAATCACTGCAGAGTTCTGATTAGGGCCAAGGTTGGAACTGGGCTCAAAGAGCTGGGATGGTAGATCTCGCATCTGATGTGTCAACATGTGCTGCTTCAAATTACCCTTTGTGGAAAAGCCACGATTGCAAACTGTGCAAATAAATGGTCTCTCTTTGGTATGACTTCGATAGTGAATGTCCAAGGCACTCTGACAAGCAAAGGTTTTGCCACAAATGTCACAAGCAGTGTTTTTAAATTTACCCCGGTCTCTGAAAGGGAAGAGGATTCCCAAAGAATCTTCTTTGATGATTTTCTCTGCATGACTGGAGGTCAAATCCAAAGCGCCCCCGTTCACAGGGGTGGGAGACAAACCGTTGGCAAACTCGCTCGGTCCCACTCTCTGTGGCTTCTCCTCAGTGCTGGGGGACTTGTGGAACTCCTGGGTGCTGTTGGACGGGGACAGAGCCTGCATAGAAGAGGTAGACTCTGAGATGGCTGGGCTGCCGGCACTTTGGCTCTCCATATCACCACCCACCGAGGACGAATCGTTGGTCAGCACATCCCCCTCGACAGATCCATTCTCCACCGACTTCAGGCTGGCCTGCAGCTGCTCAGCCAGGCCAGCATTGATCATTTTCATCTGATTTTCCAAAGCAGCAATGCTTGACATCTCGAGGGGCAAGGGCGAAGAAGATAAGCTGTCTTGGGATGCATCTGCCGACTTGGGTGTGTCTGGGATGCTACCCTCAGGGCAGTCTTCCATGTTCTCATCCGAGAAGTTGTCCAGGTCATCAAAATTCTTCTCCTCGAAGGAGCCTGTGTCGGACTCCATGGACTCAGGGTAGCTGTCGGGGACAGGGGTGTTGGGGATCTGGCCTCCCATGTGCATGCGGATATGCTGCTGAAGGACCACAGCGTTGGTGAACTTCTTCTGGCAGATGGGGCAGGAATGCTGGACTCGGAGTGGGGGCATGGCCCGGTGGACACTGTAGTGGGTCTTTAGGTTCCCTTTTGTGGTAAAAGCCCGGCCACAGATCTTACACTTAAAGGGCCTCTCCCCAGTGTGTGTCCGGTAGTGCATTTTCAAGGCGCTCTGACAGCTCAGAACCCGGTGGCAGATGATGCACTCATTGGGGTCAGTGGCCTTCTTGTCAATGTTTTCTACCAGCTGCTGCAGTTTGGATGTCTCTGATGCCTGGGCAGAGTCTAAAAGTCCCCCAAAAGGAAACTTGGCCTTGAACTGCTCAGACATGAGTGGCAACAGGGGGTTGGTGAAGGTAGTGGTCCCTCCTGGGCCGCAGTCGGCCGCTGGGGAGCTCAGGGGGTTACTGTTTGCTGTTGGGACCGAGCTGGTAGCTGTGCCACCGTCTTCGCTTTTGCCACCAGGAGGTGGCAGAGTGGACCCCTCGGCTTCCTCTGGAAGCCCACCCAGGTTTCTTGTGGCCAGATCGGGGACCCCGGAGTCACTCTTGACCGAGCCCGGGGGGCTGGCAGCAGAATGGCTGATGGGAATGGGGGCTGGCTCTTCCGTCTTGATGAAGGCTGTGAGGCTGGGGAGAGTGGGGGGCAAGGGCAGGCCAACGGAAGTGGTGAGAGTGGGCAGGACGGGTTTGGTGTCCAGCCAGCTGGTGACTGGCTTCTCTGGAGGGATGGACATGCCATAGGGGATGCCAGTGCTCGTGGGGATGTTGTCCAAGTGCTCAGGCACAGGGTAGGGGTTCATCTGGATGTGGGGGTACTTCTCTTTGTGGCGCTGAAAGTGGACCTTGAGGTTGCCCTTGGTGGAGAACCTGTTGCCACAGATGTTGCACTTGAATGGCCTCTCTCCGGTGTGGGAACGCAAGTGGATCTGCAAGGCACTGTCGCTCCCAAAGACCTTTGCGCAGAACCTGCACTTGTGTTTGAAGAACGCCTCATCCGATGTACTTTTTGCCTCGAAGGCAGTGACATTTGGTGGCTTGCTTTTTCTTTGCTGGGCCAAGGCAGACAAGGAGTTTAAATCCTCTGCGGTTGTTCCAATGTTGGGCAAAGGGCTGGGGAAAACCACGTTAGCAGGGGTCGGCTGAGGTAGAAGTGGATTAGATGCAGGACTTAATAAACTGCTTATTGCAAACGCTGGTGAGGATGACGCTAAGACTGCTGGGGAGCTGACGTGGGAGGCACCAGCACTGGAAGCCACTTTTTCCGAGGACGGGGTGGTGACTGTCGCCGCCAATATGTTTATATTGGGAGAAGTGCCATTGTTGGATGGAAGGATGGTGTTGCTGGAGCTGCTCTGAGGTAGCTGGATTGGGGGTAGCTGTTTCACACCGCTAATGCTGGCAGATTGGCTAGCGAGGCTCTGTGCTAATCCAGCTGCTGCCGCCAGCTGCTGAGATAAATGGGAACTTAGCGTGGACAAGGGGTTGGCAGATGTTCGTAAAGTACCTTGGGAAGGGCTGGAAGAGGTGGGTGAGTCTGCATTCTGAGAAGCCAACAGCAGTATTTGGTGACGAATCTGTTCGATCAGCTGCAGCTGGTGAATCTGCTGCTGCTGTAGAGCTAACAGCTGTTCCATGAGGGCTGGCACAGCCCGCTGGCCTCCAGAGCCCCCGGCGCTGCCACTGCCACACCTCGCTTCCTGGGAGAACTGGGCCACAGCCACCTTGGTGCTCTGGAGGTTCTCAATGATGACGTTGCTGTTGATCACAGAGAAGTTGCCCAGTGTTGTCAGGTCCCCGAGCTGAGGTAGAGAGGTTGTGATGGCTGAGGTACCTGTGGAGGAGCCGCTGTGGCAGCTTGGGGGGTTGTTGTTGGTGACGCTGTTCAATGTGCTGTTGTCGCTACTGGGGGCAACCGGAGCCTCCACCTCCATGGACTCTTCCCCGTCAAGTCCCTTGTGTTCTGAAAGGTCATTGCAGTCTACTTGATCCGTTTTCTTCATGGGGTCTTTCATTTGTTCTTCAGGATTCTCAGGAGGGGGACTAGGAGAGAAGGTTTTGGGTGGGGTGGCTGGATTCTCACTGACGATCAAAACTAATTGGTTTTTAGTGCAGTTCTTCTTGTGGAGCAGAAGATCGGATAATTCAAAGAACTCGGCACAGCACCGGCCACAGACGTGGGCGTCTTTGCTCTTCGTGGGGCGACTTGGTTGACCCTTCTCTGTGTCTCCTACAAACATCAAAAGGCTCAGGGTTAAAAATGGGAACCAGGACATCCTGTCATCTATGCCTAAATAAATAAATAAGTGAATGGTTAAGCAAGTGTTTTCCAGCTTCAAAATTCAAAAACCTGTAGCCCCTGAAAAGCCAATCAATACAACTCAGGCCTGCTCATAATGAATTTTTAAGGATGTAGAAGAATTTCTATCCATCTGGTATCTCAGATGGTCATGGCCCTCAGATAATGCATCAAAACATAGAAGACTATGAATGGAAGACCTTGGTATATCATACAATTCCATAGCAAAATATTGATTTCCAATATTTTATACACCTGATTGTCTACTCATCCAGAAAAGGGTCCGGCAGCCATTCTGAGGGCTTATTAGGCTCTTGAGTTTCTGTCAACCTTATTCATTTTCAAGGGATTCAAAGATATCTGTGACAGTTTGTTCTGTCACTAAACTAATTTGTAGTCATTCAGGCTCCAATCAGTTGTTGACAAGGGGGGGAAAATGCATATCACCCCAAGCTGAGGACTGACAACTTGAAAATCACCTCCAGCCCCCACCTTGAACCTGAGGCTCAGGGAGCTCAGGCTGAGCTGTGACAAACACACTTTAGTCACATCAGAAACAAATCCTCCAGCTTGCTCCTCCAGACTCCCTCGAATACAAAAGGCCAAGCACCACACACACACACAATGCAGAGAAACACAATGCACATAATCAGTACAAGGCTCGCCTGGTACCTACATATCACCCATGAGTCCCATGGTTGTGTGTTTTATTTGTAAAGTATATCCAAAGAATGCAATCTTGGCTACCAGCAGCAGCACTAACCAGCTAGTCTCCAAGTGGCTAAAACCATGCCTCAGAACCATCAAGTCTCATCCACCCTGCTCTTTCTTATCTGCAAAAACTGCCCTAAGATTTACATTTCTGATGAAACAGTAAGGTAAAGGAGATGGGCTGGTAAAGTCAGGGGGAAGCACTTGGGGTTGGAGTTTGGAAATGCCTTGCTATTCTCCTGACCTCAATGCCTTTAAAAACAGTTTGCTCTTAACTGTTATTAATTGTTTAACAGATTGTCCTGAACCTTTTCTTATATATATATTTAAAAAAATCCCTTTATTTTCTGTTTGTTTCCATTGGTTGCTCAGATGTCTTCTCACTAAGATCCATTTGTTAAATTAAACATAAGAATCTCCAACTCCGAGCTAACATTCTATTCAAAGACAGGATGGCGCCCCATTGTTTGCCCAGCATGGGGAACACCAACTTCTGTTGTACAAATGGTGTGTGGTCATCTCCGAAGGCTGTAGGAAAAAAAAACTGTTTAATTCAAGGATTACCTCCCTGCATGCTTTTCTGCAGTACTGAATCAGATAATAGGTAGTTTCCATGACTTCCAAACTGAATCTCCCAGAAAACATTCGGGGGGCGGGAGGGGGGGAGGAGAAGGGAGGGAGTCATGGCAGATATGAATACATGCAAAGTTGAAATGCTTTTTATTTTATTTTACTTTCCAGCATATTAAATGTCTGGTCAAAAAGAGCCAGCCATTTTCTTTTCTTTTCTTTTGCATGAAGTATCTAAAAAGCTTGAGTAGTTATACATTTCAGAAATATAATTAACACCTAAATATTAATTTGTGAGAATCCCTTAACTCTGCCTGGAGTGATGGCAAAGTTGATTAGCACCCATGGTAATGTGTACCAAATAAATGTATGCACAGTTTACTCACTGGGAGTGTTACTTTGGAAGCCAAGTTATACTTAATAAGCTAGCTTTCTTAATACCCACTTTAATCTCTATAAGGTTATGGTACAAAATAGATGTAGCACACAAACAAATCGTCGCTGCAGCACAAAATACCATTAATGTCCTAGTTTTAATGTAATGTTTAATCATCTTGATTGGCACCAGATTCCTATGCACATTGAAGGTACTGCTTTTCTCGCCTTCTGTCTCTTCCCTGCTGTCTTTAGAATACTATAAACAAAATATTAAATGAAATTTGTGAAAACTTACGTTGCCTAACTCGGGACAAAAATAATGTGACAAAAATTCTGTTGAAAGCTCCTTATTTTGACAACCAATTTCAAATGATGCATCCATTTCAGATGCTTATTTTAAACTGGGAAATGCAATTCCTAATATATTCAACAGAAATGTGATTTCTTTCTCTTTGCACATTTCCATATGTAATGGTTATGTTTCTATCTACTTTTACAGCCAATTATGATGGAACAAAAGCTATTCTGTTTGTTCACACATTTTCAACAAAATGCATTAAAACTATTATGTCAGCATGTTCTATTAAGCTCTCCATTCAGTGGGAAATACTTTTCAACCAGCTCACATTTATCAAAACATAAAGCCACTTTAAAACACAGTTTTGCTTGGTCAGCTGGGCTTAGACAAATAATGACAGATTCAGAACTAAATAACTAGCAAGGGAAATCAGAAAACTGACTTTCAATGGTACACATTACAATGTCGTTGCTTCAAATATTTATCACATCTGTGCTCAGGACTAAAGGGCATTTTAATTCTCTATAACTTGCCTACATCTGATATTCTCATAATATATAGAGGAAAACAAATAAAAGGAAGGTTACTTTAGAAGATTTAACTGATTGTGACTTTCCTGTACTCACACTGTATACTGTTGCTGCTTCAAGACTCACTTGAGAATTTTCACGTTATCCAACTTGAACATTTTTATATTTAGGATTGTGCTAACTAGACGGAAAATATAGGTGCTTAAAAATAAATGCTTGTTTGCTTCTGAAGAGAGGCTCTGTTGAAAGTTGCCCATATTTTAGCTTAAGATTCTCACAACATTTTAATAAGCTGACATTTGATCTCACTGTAGAGTCAACTAATTTAATTTCCTGATGTTTTTGAACACTCCACCCCCACCCCAAACCACCACCTCCCCTATCTATTTTGAATCATTTCAAAAACAGGTGTCGCTACACTGTAATAATTCCTAACTTAATGTCTCTCCCTATTCTGAAAACAATTCTAATGCAAGTTTCAAAAGAAAAAACACAAAACATGAAGATTAGCATGAATCTTTAACCACCAAAAAGAGTATTTTAAGTTGTAATAAGCTACAACACACACACACACAACACACACACACAACACACACACACACACACACACAACACACACAGAGGAACATGTTCCAATTCATTTTTCCATCCTGCCTTCTGCTACTTTGTATCTCCCTCCATGATGTGTTACACAGGATTGCAACTGGTGACCTCATTATAGAAAATACAGTTGTCTTGATCCTTGTATTATGGTGGAAAAAACGCTCCAGTTTCTTTTCTATACATTTTTGCATACAAATTAATTGTGTAATTATAGTCTGGAGCTGTAAGAGGAGCAATGTTTTCTAAATATGGACACACAAAATAATATTTGGCATTTTCTGAGGCCTGTTTGTGAAGGAAGAAAACAATCCTCTACTGTCACCAAGTTTACCTGAAAACCCAAGATGTTTTCGTTTTTGTACTATTTAGGCACTTGATATACAACTCAGATTCCTTAGGTTTTTGTCCTCTGAACCTAGCCATTTCAGAATCGGAAGGAGAAAATTGAAATTTGAAGTGTTCCAGCCTATTTGTCTATTAAGAGAATTAAAATAAAACTATGTCCATACAGAAAGGTTTAGCCAGCCAGGAAAAGCAGAAAAGAAAAGAAAAAAAATACATAAAAAGAAAAAAAAAAGGAAGAAACACACTACCACTACTAAACCACCAACTCTACCAGATTTAGTTTTCCTTTGTGGCTCTCTGGAGAAAGTCACCTCTGTACTTCCCCACCCCTGCGACTGCATTCACATTTTAAAATCCAACTTTTCACAACGGTGGGTTTAAGGCCCAACTAAAATTTTAATAGGAGGTTCCTTTACCCTCCTGACCTGTTTGGAAAGGCTATCACAAACATTTGATTGAGCGATCATTTATCTCTTCGGTTTTATTTGCACAGCTCAATCTAAAATGTCCAATTTAAGATTCCAAAAAGGTCTGTGAACACTTGCACCTAGGTCGGGCAAATTTTTTGTAATGTCAGAAAGTTTCTCTCCCATGTAGCCAAATGACAAATTGGACTCTGTTAAATTCCCACAGTGTGCTGACTATATTAGTGTGTTCTCGCGTGGAAATCCCAGAGAACTCTCCGGAAAAAAATAACAATGCAGACAAGACATTTCTTTAAAGTCATGATTCGAGCCCACCTAATGCACACAATAAATGAATGGGGGAAATATCTACCCCACCATGAATCAAACTGAACACTAGATGGGGTTCCAGTCGCAAGGGTTTGTTGAAAAACTTCTTTGTGGCTTTCTTATTCCACTGACGCGGAAAAGAGAGACTCCTTAAGGCGAGATCTAAACGCTGACTACGTAAACATTGGCAAAAGCACAAGAAACTAAATCCCTGTTGTTTGAGGGTGAAGCTGAGCTCCGGGAACTACCTGTCAATCTTCCCCTTTGGGGGTCTGGTATCTGAGGGTGACAGGGGAATAAGGTTAGGAAAAGAAGCCAAGCTGATAAGGCGAAACTAAAATAAACTACTAACTTCCTGCTAAGTGACTAGCAAGCCTCAATTTGGGGGTCACCGGGAAGATACTGAAGGACATATTATGATCTGGACCTTCTCACCTTTGCGTGGGAGGAGGCTAGCAAAAGTTAAAACAGCTGGACAGACCATGTTTTCTAAAGCCTGGTACACAAACTCCCCCCACCCCCCTCCAGGTGGGGGGAGGGGTGGCAGTTTCTTAGGTGAACTCATTTAAGAGCATTTGGGAATCAAGGCTGTCTTGAACCAGGCTGTGTATAGAAAAAACTTATTTAAGCTGCAGAAAGAATTTGTTCTGGTTATTTCACAGAGCTTGGCTTTTGAACAATTTCAAAACCTGTAACCAGTCTGCCTATTTCTTCCCCGATTCTGGTGAAGATTGTCAGAAAAGTGAGTTTCTGCCTTCTAGAGGACTTAGTAAAGTCAACTTAATAGCTCCAAAAGTAGAAAAAGAAAAAGAAATACAAACAACACCCCCTACTCCCCCCCAAAGAATAACCTCTAATTTGAAACTTGTGCCTATGAACCATAGGAGAAATTTGAGGTAAAATAAACTGCCAAACACTGACTGTCACAAAGTCACTCCACATATACTTATCTGATGCATAGCTAGAATTTGCTTGTTTGTATGTTTAAAAAAATATTTAGGGAAGTATCTACATCCTGAAGTTAATCTCAAAAAACAGTATTTTCTCATCCAGAATCTTCCATTATGTCAAACTTAAAATAGGCCTGATTAAACATGAATTCTTTCCAAATGCCTTATCTTGCAGGTGTCGAGTTTTCAAAAAAAGCAATTAATTATAGTTCTCTCTAACCTTTTGGGCCTAGAAATCAATGTGTTGCCATTAAGCTGCTTGCAATGAGTAAATTACTTTAGTAAATAATAGAATTTCATTATTAATTTGAATACGAGTTTTTCTAAAAAATGATATTCCATAGAATCACTGTTTTACCTGAAATTTATGTCTTTATTCTCACAATATTCCCTTTTCCTTGAAAAAAGTAGGCACCAAAATACTTACTACAGGGAGCCTGAACAGACACTCCTGTAGTTTCAAGAATCTTAAAAATACCACCAAAGAAAGAAAAGCTCCCCCTCACTATCTGAAATCTAAAGTAGGATAAAAATCCACATAGAAAACCATTCGATTCTCATATATATATTTTTTTTCCTGAGAATTATCTGTCTTGGTAAACAGTCTTTTCAGGAGCACTTATCTTTCTACAAGTAATTCAGGACTTGTTGAATATTGCATTCAAGAGACAAGCCATATGCACCATAATCTTCATTTCATCAGAAATGGAGAAACTGTCAAGCTTATTTTCTAGCATCACTGGCATCACAATGGGCTCAGTAGTGAAATAAAATAGCAACAATGTACGATCAAACAAATAATCTTGTTTTCTTGAACTTGTTTCCTTTTAGCTGTCTGTGTGGCTGTTTAGCTGAGCTAGGGCTTTCTTTGTAAGCGCATTCACACTGAAATCCACACAAACAGGTCACACACCATAGCAGGAAGCATCCCTCCTCTAGGACTACTGTAACCAAGTCTACAAACTTTTCAGGTTCTGCATTGGTTAGAAGTTATAACATTGGAGGGACAGAAAAGCATCCACTCAATTAAATTTGGTAGCATGTGTGCTATTTCATTTGCCATGTTGTAAGAATATAGCAAGCCAGAAGAAAAAAGTAAGCTCAGCATTTGAACTGGGGGTAGACTTCTAAAATTTTAACAATGTGTAGGTTGAAAATCCGTCAAAGCCAACAATTTCAGTGTGCAGAGAAGGATGGACCCTGGCTGAATTCACAGCAGAGAAAGGGAATCTGCAAAAGTAACCTGGAGCTACATCAGGGACTTCCAGGTCCATTTATCTCACAACCATTCCCAAATAAAAAGAACTGGGTATGTTAGGCCCTCCTGCAGGCTCTTCAGGTGATGGGTGGGAGTTTTTGAGTGCGAATATTACAACACAGTAAATCCTGTGACCCTATGCCAAAATCTACCTTCTAGGCAACTTCTCCCGAACTTATTGTTCAGCCATGTAAAAACACTCATAACCTAAAACCATTACTACTTGAAGAAAAAAGGGAGGGGTGGGGAGAGGCAAGGAGAGAGGCTGGGAAAGGGGGGTGTTCCTAGGTTACCCCTCATACTTTACTGCTTCTTAGACAATGAACTAGTTTTTAGGAAGAAAGAAGGGACAAAAAGAAACTTAGAAAGAAGATGGAAAGAAAAGAAACTTGATTCAGCTACTTAATTAACTTACCTCAAAGCTCAAATAAACTAAAAAAATAGAACTAATAAATAATAATGGCAAGAGGTAGTGAACTCCTTTTATGCTATAGCTTTATGAGAAACCTTAACTATTAAAAATTCCACATTCAGAAAAGCAAGGCAAAGAACTACCAAGCAACCATTTCTTCCCAAGTGCGAGTTGGTTTGTGTTTGTGTGTATGTGGAAAATGCAAAAAAAATCAATACAAATTTACAAAATATTCGGAAACATTCTCTAGGTTTTTTTTTTTCCTTCGCCTACACATTTGCAACTTAAACAAGGTCTAGGTAGAAACTACAGGAACAGATTCGCGTGGGGCCGAAAAGTTTAAAGCAACCAGCTAAGAAAAACACGCGCGAGTGGTCGCTGGGGCCTTGGTTATTTTCACCTAGGTTCACCCGGCGTGCCGGGGTTACTTTGGGGGCTGGAAAAGCGGGTGGCAGAGCTTCTTTTCTGCGGGTTGAAAAAAAAAAGCTGAGGCTCTGGGGAAGACTTCAAGCCTGAGGAAGTACTAGGAGAACAAATACTGTAAACCGTTTCTAAATCGCATTCAAGTCTCCCCGGTTTTTTTTTTCCAGGGATCCCACGAACGGCCTCCCCGTTTCTCCACAGCTAAGGTGCGGGTCCCTTCGCCTGGCTGCGGGTCCCTGTGCGAGCGAGTGCCTGAGCCGAAGCCCTGCTCAGGCCTCTGGGGTCCTGCCTGGAATCAGGGGCCCAGGCGGCCGCCGAGCACAGTGGACAGAGGTGTCGATCCCAGGGCCCGCTTCGGAGCTCTCCTGAGGTGCGGGTCCCTCCTACAAAATCCTAAAATGCCTCCGCGGACGCGCGCATCCCGAGGGGCACCCGGCGTGGCGGGGACCCGGCCAGAGCTGCGGGAAGGGGGAGCGAGCCGCCGGGGTGACCCGGGGAACCGAGCCTGGCCGCTCCCTCGCTCCCTCGCCTCGAGAGCTGGGCCTGGGAGCTTGGAGGCGCCGACAGTGCAACACCTTGGGGTCCAGGAGGGATTGGAGGTGGCCTCCTTCCGAATTCCCCGGTCCCCGCCCGCTCTTGCCGACTCTCGGCCCGAAGTCCCCACACAAACTTTGTTCTGGACTTGTCTGCTCCTTTCAGGACCCCCGAAGTGGTCGCCTCCGTTAGAGAAGGACCGATTCTCTTGGAGGGGGTCGTCTTGTCCTCTGGAGGGTTACCCCCAACCCTGAAAAACTGCCCTACGCTTCCTCTGGCTAGGCTGAAAGCATGAGGTGCTACGGTGCGCAGAGAACTCACAGTAAAGCTCCAGGCTTTTTGGGGAGGGGGCTTTAAATGCCTGTATTGGGGGTAAAAGATAACGGGGGGAAACTTAGGGGGCCTGAACCCCACACTTCCCCCGCACCCCTGCACTGTCGGGCACCACCGGCAGCAAAGAATATTCCACTCGGCCAAAGCCCCAGGGTGTCGCGCCTCGACCCAGGTCCCCATCTTCTTACAGCTCTGAACCCCCCATGGTACCCCGCTTCTCCGTGTGACTGCAGTGGGATCGTGAGAGTGAGGAAGGGGGCGCAGTGAGTGAGCGCCCCACAAGCTCGGAGTTCAATCACCAGCACCAAGTTAACTTCCTTCCCGCTGAAAGCAGGGCTGGGGCGGCGAGGCCCGGACGGCAGAGGCCCAGGCGGCCGAGGCCGGGTCAGGGGGCCCCGGGCGCGGCTCAAGGAGCGCGAGGGGCCCCGCGCGGGCCGGCACGCACCACCTCAGCCCGAACCCCCCGAAAAGCGCCTGGGCCTCGGCGCGCCTGGGACCGGGCTCCCCGGAAAAGCTGGGGCGGAGGCGCCAGGCCGGCAAGCACTTCCCTCCTCCCCTCGGGAGGACGCCGCAACTCCGGAAAGATCCTGCCGGGAGACGCGCTTGTTTTCCCCCGGAGCTAGGGGCACAGCCCGGCCGAGGCAAATTGAAAATTTAAAAGAACAAGGATTTCCCAAACCACGCCGATTCGAAAAGGCGAGCGGGGACGCAGTGGGCGCGGGTCCCCGCCGCGTGTGCGTGGGTCCCAGTGTGCGTGTGAGTGCGCGCGTGTGTGTGTGTGTCCGCAGCGCGGGCCGGAGCACTCACCATCTCGCCGGGGGAGCGAGGCCACTTCGGGGTCGGATTGGAAATGTTGAGGCTTCGCTTGCTTCCTCCGCGACATGCTGGCTCAAACATCAGCTGGGGCAGAATAAAAAATTACTAAAAAAAAATCTTCTCAAAATTACGGAAATCGAGCGGCGGCGGCGGCGGCGGCTCCCCCCGCCCGCCGGCCCGCCCGCCCCCTCCCCGGCTCCCCGGCCCCGGGCGCAGCGCGCATGTGTCCTGCTATAATTATGATTATCAATAATGCATTGCGATTAATCATAGAGGGGCTCTTTGAAAGGCGATTGGCACCCGGCCAGCGCTATTCAAACCCGCTCGCCTTAATCAATTAGTTCGTGATTTGCTGCAGACCCCTGTCTCTCCGCGCGCTTGCCCAATAAGCCGGCCGCGGGGCTGGCTCTGTGCGCCGCGCCGCCCGACACTGGGTTAACCCTCTTCGCGACCGCCCGGGACTCCGCGGCCCGGCCGCCGGGGGCCGGCCTCCTCGCCACTGCGCGCCCGGCTCCCCGGCCGGCGCCCCCCGCTCCCTCCCTTCCTCCCCCTCCTCCTCCTCCCCTGCCCCCCATCCCGGGTTGGGCCGACCCAAATTAGCATGCCCTCCCCGGAATTAAGCCGCCCGGGTGGGGGGTGGGGCGGGACGGCGGGGGCTGGGGACCCGCCTGCGAGCGCGCAGCGAACTTCCCAACTCCAGCGCGCGGCGCGCCGGCCCGCGGGGGGTGCGCGTGTGTGTGTGTGCGCGGGGGGGGGGGGGGAAGGGGGGAGTCCGTGGCGGGACGGGGGGGGGGGGACTGGTGGTTGGAGTAGTGGAGGGCGTCCCGTTTCGTGAGTGTTTCTTCGGTTTAGAGCTACCAGAAAGCAGCCCACCCCCACTCTCATAAAAAAAAATAAGCGAGTGGGGAAGAGCCAGCCCCACGCCTGTCCGCCTCCCGCCCGCGGTGGGGCCTCCCTCCCACCCGCCGCCTGGCTGGGCGTTTCTACGCCCCGAGTTCTCCATCCCCTGGATCCCGGGCTCGCAGGGGCGCGGAGAAGAGGATCGAGGAAAGGTTTGGGAACGTGCTGGGTTTGGGGCTGGGGGGAGGGGCAGCTCTCTCGCCACCCCCTTCCTCCTCCTCCTCCACCTCCTCCTTCTCCTCCTCTTCCTCCTCCTCCTCCTCTGGGCCTGCGGTCCACCAGCCTTTAGCTAGCTCCCCCGCTCCCTTTCTCTACCTCGGACATTCCCAGGACAATTAGGGCTGAAGTTTTCGGGAGAAGCGCCCCGAGCCCGTGGGATAAGGGGGCGGCTCGGCTCCGCCCAGGACCCCTCCCGAACCTCCCCCTCGGCGGCCCGGGTTGGCTGCAGGGCGCGTCACTCCGCGGGGAGGCGGCGGCGGCGGTGGCGCCGCGGAGCCCGGGGAGGGTGGAGAGCTGAGACCGGCCTGGGCTCGGAGTTCAGCTAGCGACTCGGGGGAGGGGGAGGGGAGGGGCTGCCCCTAACCCTGTGCTGAGCTGCGCGCCCCCGACTTGAGGCGCAACTAAACCGAGCCCTGGGCTAGGCCAGCCCCGGGGGTTCCAGGGCTCCCCACACTGTGGGAGGGGGCCTCGCTCCCGCTTCTTGGAGACGAGGTGGTGGCCGGAGGCCGGGAATGAGTGAGCGTGCTGGGGGTCCCTGCCCGCTGCTCCCGGGCTGATAGGAAGCTCGCCCCTACTTTTCCGGCACTTGCCGATCACGGTGCCCAAACTTTTCGCTCTTTCTCCATCTCCCCAAGCCAGGCTACCGCCTCCTCCCTACCCGCACCCAGGAGCCAGGAGCCCGGGCCCCGCACTCCCTCTGCCGGGCTCAGGCGCCCGCGAACCTGAGGCTTGGTCCTCGGCTCAGCCTCTATCTTCCCCTCGCGCCTCGGGGTCTCCTCGCTCCAAGGTTCCCGCAGTCCTGCGCCCGGAGGACTAAACTAAACTAAACTTCTGTTGAGCAATGGAGGAGGAGGGGGGGGGGTGCAGATACACAATCCCTGCCCTATCTCGCCATCGGGAAAGGAGAGGGCTCCTAAGGACGCCCCAATTCGGGAGCGCCCTTGAGTCTGGATAGTGTCACCGTCGGTTCGCGCGAAGTGGGCATCGAGCACCCGAGCGGATTCACACCCCGCTCGCCTAAGTGACCCTTTTCCCTTTTCAAGTTTCTACCCCCCCCTTCCCAAATCTTTTGTGGACGCATGTTTGTTTTCTATCGGCTGACTTTATTGTTTTTCTTAGCATAACTTCTTCCTTATTTCCCTCTCCCCGTTCGCTCCCCCAGTGTTTCTGTCTCTCCTCCGTCTCTCCCCCGCCCCCTCTCCCTTTCTCCCCAGGTTCGGTTGGGTACCGTAGATTTTGATAAAAAGACAAACGAAGCTATCAGTGGGTCTGATGTTGAAGAATGAAGATAATAATGTTTCCATAGGTGGTGCTTCAAATGCCATTATTTCTCACTGAATATTTAAAGAGATCTCCCGGCAAAGATGGATTTGCGTGCTCCTGGGGTGCCAGCCGCTCACTTCCCCCCAAACCCGCGGGAACGTGTACGGGTGCACTTGTACATCCCGCACCCGGCCCCACTCCGCAAAACGGAGCCCTCGCAAACGCCCCCAAGTACACTCCTTCAGGGACACAACGTTTCCAGGTGCTGCGGCACCCTCATCTCCCCAAATCTGCCTGTGTTTGAAATCGCCCGCATCGGTCCCCCACATTCTTGGTTTCTTGCAAGTCCGGGCCTCTTGAGCACCGCGTGTAGCCAGCACAAGTCTAGCGGGCAGTCCCGCAAACCCTTCCTCCTGGCACCCTGGTTGCTCGCCGGGTGCGCGGAGGGAAGCTGCTCAGGGGAGTAGCTTCACATGTGTTCATGACTTGCTCTATGTGTGATTAAGCTGGGAGGGGGGGGTGCTTTCCCTCCCCTCAAAACAACACAACAAACAACCAAACGAAACCAACACGCAAAAGCTGCTTTGCGCTCCTTAATTAAAAATGAGCGAGCAGAGACGAATTAATTGGGGGGATCCAAACTTTAATAACTTTTTTCGTTCTTTGGCGTCCTCGACGGCGGAGAGGCGGGCGTCTCGCTCAGCGCCCGGCGTCCCCCGCTAATTTCTTGTTTGTTTTCTTTCCCTCAGTGGCTCGGGGAGAAGGGGGGGGGGGGGGGGGGGGGGGGGGGGATGGGAGGTGGGGGACGGTCGGAATGGCGGGGAGAGGAGAATTGGTCTTTATTGTTGGTGGCAATACATCAATTACTGGCCATTGTCTCGGGCCCAAGTTCCTCGGCTCCGTAGGGCGCGCTCCCCAGTTTCAGAGAACTGGCGAGGCTCCGCACGCCGCGAAGCAAAGAAATAATTAAATCGGTAAAAACGGAGAGGGAGTGAGAGTAAAATTTTGATTTTTTGAGCGGGCCCAGAAAAGGCTGCGAACACGAGTGAGGTGCTACGGCTAGACTTCTGTGCACCGGGCTCGCCCCAAGAACTGAGTGCGCTTTCCTGGGGTCGCGTCCTCGCCCGGATAGGGGGGCAGCTGCTGTGAAATCGGGGTGAGAGGGTGCGGCCTGGCAGGTTCCTCGAGATGGCCGGGTACTTGGGGGCTTCTCCGGAGTGGGGAGTGGGGGTTGCCCAAAGCGAAGCAGCAGCTGTGTCGGGGTCGTGACCTGCAGGACCAAGAGGAACAGCACTCGGGGGAAGGCCCTGGTGATTGTGCAGACTCCCATCTTGGAGGGCTTTGAGGACCGTTCCTAGCCACACATCACTTCAGTTTCCCAAGGTCTAGAGCTCCCGGGGTTGGCGGTGCCCAGGGGCTGGTGCCCCAAGGCCGCGGGCCACCTCTGAGTTCCTAGTGAGGGGGTTTCCGGGCTTCTGAGTTCCAGCTGCAGTACCGGAGAGGACGAAGGGCATTGAGCCTCCTCCTTCTGAGGCCTGCTTCGACTGCCCCTAAAACGCACTTATTTTGGTTCAGCTTGACCCCCGAGTCTTGGTGAGGGCCTGGGATAGGGCCTGGAATGAGGCCTGCCTGAGCCCTAAACCCTCTTTTCAGTTCTTCCTGCCCACGTTCTCCACCCCACTCCAGAAGACTGTAGGGTATCCCCAAGCGTCCGGCTTTGGTCCCTGCTTCCAAATCTGCAAGCCCAAGCCCAGCTGGTCCCCCAGCCCAGGCTGCAAGGGCACTAGGGGAGGTTTCGTTTTTCCAAGCTGAACTAAGAGCGGCCAAAAGGCGGCCGCGGCGCCCCGGGGGCGGGGGAGGAGGCACTTCGATGGTATCAACGTTATTGATGGGAAATCGTGGGGTAAGAGCCCGGAGATCAGGTTCCCAGCCCCTCCCCTCTCCGGAGGTGGGTGGGACCGAGCGGGTGGTGAGGTGTGTGTGTGTGTGTGTGTGTGTGTGTGTGTGTGTGTGTGTGTGTATGCACGTGTACGCGCGCGCGCGCGCGTGTGTTTGCGGATAGGGCGCCTGGATGCATCCGCATTAACCACCTGGAGATTCCTTGTCTGGAAGCTTTCGGGGCAAGGGATCCAGGAGGAAAGGTTGGGGTGGCAAGTACCCTAGTTCTCACGGCTCTTTTCTAGGCTTGCAGCTGCAAGCGAGAGGGCAGCAAGATAGGATATAAAACAAAGATTAAATTTGGAAAGCCCTCCGTAGGTTCGGTTGTTTCCCAACCCTGGAAGTGTTTTCGGGAGTTTCATAAACTCTGTCCCTAGCAGATCTGCCATCGCTCCAATCCCAACCACCCCTCTGGCCCTCTTCAGTCTCGAACCAGAGGCCTGGGAGACCCGGCTCCGACGTGTGTCCCCGCCCCTGGTCCAAGTCCCGCAGTGCACTCTTGGCATTAGCCCTAACCAGCAGCTAAATCCTGGTGGCAGAGAGGCAGATGTGGGGACCCTCTCGCCACCCGCCTCCATGGGCTATCTCCAGACGGCGCCGGGTCCAGTCCGGGGATCCGGAGCCCGGAGCGACGGCTTGGGCGGGAAATTGACCGGGGCGGGAGGAGGGCGGGTTGGGTAATCACCTCAGCGCACCCTGGCCCGCTGCAAACTTCGTCTTTCTTCCCTTCCTGGGCCATTCCTACACCAGGATTTAGAAAGTGACTCGACTGCAAGCGCCTGCGAGTTGGCTTTTTGGTGGTTTTATTTTGGGTCTACTTTTTGTC